TAATGAAATTTACACAAGATTCGAAACGCCTGCATTGCCACCCACCCATTCAGATGCAATTGCGTTGGTGCGACATTCAAAACTCTTAATACACCCATTTGAAACTTATCAAAGGAAAGTACTACCCCTAATTCCCTAAACATGCATTCATATACAAAAAAAGTGTCGACCATCTCAGCACCATCACCTAAAAATATATATTTAAGGTTTACCAACTCGTCGCCTCGGCAAACCTTGACGGTTATTAGATAAGGATCAGAAGTATCCCACAATGCTATGTTACATTGGTCTACAAAACTTTGCAGTCGCCCTCGTTGTTTAAAGCGTGAGTAGTACGCAGTTACTTCTCCATCAACCCACTCGAAACCAAGGATAGTACAGGGCAAAAATTTGGGTCATTCTCTAGGAAGATTGGCATTCGAGAGTGACTCGTCCAACTCAGAGTCCTCGCCTTCGGCGTTAGACAGCTCAGCTTTGTCACTGGAATCCCTAACGGTATCATTAGGATCACTTATAACCCTGATTGTTTGAGAAGAGATACCCTCTACCCCTTCGTTCTCAACCACTTCGTCTATCTCATTTACAGATTAGGTCTTTGACCCCGAGTTATCTGATAGGGAATTCTCCCATTCCATTGCAGTATCCATACCCACAAGATTAAGAGAAAAAAGACAAAGAAGGTAACAGCAAAGCAAACATACCTTTGAAATTCAAAAATGCAAAATACTTGAACGATATAAGCAAAGTATAAAGTATACCCCTCGATGCAGAGCAAAAGTTTACATAATGCCTGGACCACAACCTTTTTATAAAGCACAAGCCTTTGGATAGATGAAGGGACACCCCTTTTCCCAACCATTAGATCTCCTTTTAGATCAACAGTTAAGAATGTGCAACCCTTCATTTTAGAGCACAAACCACGAGAAAACCTTGATTTTGCTAAAACCTTAGATCGACAAAACCCTAATTTGCCTAAGGCTTTAAATCAAAAAAGCCCTTGCGTCATACCTCCTTGGGCTTAGGGGACAAATGTACTAGATTGGACACTTCGGATAGAAAAAGGAAATTGAGTACCCTCTCGACCTAACTTATGTCGAATGGTACCCATGACCATTCGGCCTAGATGAACAAGAACCTCATCAAGAGCAATTTGGGCTTGGAGGGCAAGTGTACTAGATAGGACACTTAAGTTATCATCACAAAAAAAGAAAATTGAATACCTCTTCGGCCCAACACCAGGACGAAGGGTACCCATACTCTTTTGGCCACGAACACCTCTTCAATCATGTTAAAATATCCACATAAAAATAATTAAAGATTAATAATTGATTAATCAATAAGAAAAAGGTTAATTACTTAAGTAATCAGAAGACTAAGACCAAGACTGAGTCATGAAGTCTATTAGCCTAATATTTTATCTATAAAAAGAAAGTAAGAAGTATAAGTAAGGAATTGATTTCTAAATATGTCATAGCATTTACTATTCTACACTGAAAGCTAACTTTATTGTCGGAGTACCTTTATAGGTACTCTCCCCTACGTCATAGCAAAGAAGAATCTGAAATATTTCATGAAAACGTTATGTCAAGGGACAAGAGAGGAGAGACCACTGAAGACTAGTATATCCTTCACATGAACATGCATTAGGGTGCAATTGGTGTTTTCTCAATGACATTCCTATGCTTTGAGACAAAGTAATGTAGCACGATAATTACGACGCATGGAAAGAGCTGAGAATATTCAATGGAACTGCGTTTTATTTGAATTTGATGCATAAAAGCTAAAATGCATAAAACTTGCAACATCAATTAGAAAAGATGTAGGTTGATGTGCAAATATATCATTGTTAGCAGGTACATACCATTTGATCCTTTACCATGTGTCTCAACGTTTGTCATATTATCACAATCGGTCAATTGTCTACAATTAGAAACTACATTCTCATAATATGTCGGCAAAGAAAAAGATATATTAAAAATTTCATCATTTGGCTCCTCAAGTTAGCATCATATTTGTGTTAAAATAGTTGTACTCATTTTCATACTTTTATATTTATATATTGACAAGTGAATTCTTTTAATTTTTTCTTAGATTTTAAATTAAGAATATTAAATTCTCATCTCTAGTATGAATACTCTTAAAAAATAATCCCAAGAAATTAATATTCTTATAAATAATTTTAGACAAGTTTTCTCAGTATACATTCCTATAAGAGGGGTGAGAATTAAAATTTTTATGAAGGTAAGAGTAATGATAGAAAAATACAAACATATCCCTAAATGTTTTTAAATTTAAACTTAGTTTACATAATTTCTTCTCATAAGTCAGTCAAATTATATATTATGAAGTTACGTTTTTTACACTATTTATTTTGCTTTATATATAAAGGATATTTTAAAAAAATATTAATATTTAGGACATAATATTTAAATCAAACACAATATTAGAACTTTTAAGAAAATTTAAGATACATCATATATCTTTTTAACATTTTCATAAAGTAAAATCCCCAGAAATATGATTTTAAGAAAATATAATTTCAAAAACTCAAAAAATTAAGTTTTTGCCATTGTTATATTTTGACTTAGCGTATTATCTATAAAGAGAAAAAGCATCTAATTGCATATAATAATTACTTTTTCACGTATACATCATGCTATAAATGAAAAAGTAATTAAAAAAATATTCTCTGCTAAGTATTCTCTTACCATTCTACACATGTTTAGGTTTTTTTTTTTTTTTACCAAAAATTACATTATGTTCCTTTGCAAGTTAGCATGATATTTTACAAGAAAAATAAACAAATAAAAATAATGAAAAATAACGGATTATTTACAAATATGGATAATAAAGAACTGTTATTTTATCATTTTAAAAATAAATATGGATAATAAAGAAAAATTATTTACAAATTAGCATGATTTTTGTTTGCATCTTCATGATGCATCTAATATGAAGCTTTTGCATCTCATTAATTCAGAAATTTTATTTGCCTTTCTACATTAGCATCCATGCTCAAAATAAGTTTTAAATAATCAAATAAATGAGTTCAAAAATCAATCAAAACCATTTTCAACAGGTAAATCAATTCATAAATTTAAAGATTCAATAAATTATGAATTAAAAACTGACAATTTTTTTTATTTGTTTTATTTTTTTTCTTCCATATTTAAAACTAATCCAAACAAAATCATAATGAACTACATTTATATTAATTTTTTATTTTGTCCTTATGTGTACTAATCAAAATATATTTCTTTAAATATCTGTATTTTAAAGAAAAACTTGAAATTATTTAAATTTATGTTTTGAAATTTAGACTAAATTAAATTTATAATGATATTCAATGCTTTTGAGCAGCTTTTATTTTCAAATTATATATATATATATATATATATATATATATTAATAAGCATTTTTTCTGAAATTAATAAAAACTAACCACTAAAAGAATTTATATGTTAATTTTAGATGATATTCATGCTCTAGTTAATGAAAATTTATATATTACTAACCAACAAATCAAAGTTTTGTAAAACAAGAGAAAATATAATCCAATCAAATTCACAACATATTGATTAGAAATGATTCAATCTTAATATTATTCTCGGTAATTAAAATCAAACTGTGAATATTTCTAATAAATTCAACTGTTCTTCTTACATATTTTATTATATTGTTGCAATTTATTTTGTCTTCAAATAAAATATCTATCCAAATAAGGGTTTAATCATTATTACACATCAAAACAATAAGCCATCAATATAAATATCACTCAAAAATAATATAATAGTTATTTCTCAATATAAATATTACTCAAAAATAAGATAATGGTTATTTCTCATCATTAACATGCCATTTTTTATCTTAAAATTAAAAACAAAACTCTGTTATTTTTCTAAGCATCTTAAAAATAATAAGAAAATATTATTTCCGCTTGTTCTATTGATATGACATTTTGCATAAAAACAAAATGAAAAATAGAAAATTATGAGTTTCTCATTGTTTACGGCACTCTTCCTTGCCTAAAAAAAATTTCACTTAACGAAATTATATGATCTTAAAATAATTATAAATCAATTCATCTTTTTAAGCATGTCACATGATATGATAAGAAAATTGAAGAAAAAATAAATAACATTTTGTCTTTGCATGACATTGCTGTCAACATAATTTTTCTTGTCTTTGAGATTAATATAAAGGTGATTTAATAATTAAAAATAATATAAAATTATTTTAAATAATTATTAATTTATTTTTCTTTCTTAATTCATCTTTAAATATTATATTTTCAAATATGTTTATGTATTTTTTAAATATTAGCAAGAAATGGTATGTTAGTTGATTATTTTATAAATAATTAAAATGAAAGAGAATTAAGTAAAAATTATTTATCTTTAAGTCAAAATAGTTATTTTAATAAAATATATAAGTTTAAATACCTTTTAACTAACTCTAAATAGAACTTATTTCAAAAAACTACTTCATAATTTTTTTTTCATTTTAATGCCTAAATAATTTTTTTTCAATTTTATACCTAACATTAACGAAATTAAATGGTGACGTGACTAACAATTTGTCACATCACCGTCGATCTCTTTCATACATCTCATTATTAAATCACCACATTAGGATTCTACATAAGCATTTTTAAATTTTAACCTAAATGTTGTGTTTTGAATTTAACTGAAGTCTCATCATCTTTTCTTTAATTTTTGTCATTTTCTCTTAGTTATATTTTCAACTTCCATTAAATCATCCATCTTTGCCTACAACTTCTCAGCTATATTTATAGTTTCACTTTGCAAATCATTCGTTCAATCATTCTCATTTTCATCATCATCTTCACGCTTACTTCAGCAACTTATTCACCTAACATTTGGGCTATTAACATCCGACAACAACAGGAGTACATGCACTCAACCCTCAAAGTTCATATACCATTACAAGAGGGTTTATTTCATGATTCACAAAAGATAAGGATTGGGAAGATGAAAGAGAAAGAACTCACAAGGCCTTGATCATAACCAACATAGAGAAATTGCACAAAATGAAGGAACTTAAAATGGGTCCAATAAATGTCATCCACCCACAATCTGCAGCCATTACAATTTGAACTCCCCATTTGGATTAAAACAACAAAAACAATCAGATTTCAAAAAAAGTGCAAACTTTACTAGTTCAGAAGAAGTTGAAGCACTGTAGGGTACAAAACACAATGCTTAAACCTAGAATGCAAGAACAAAAGACACAACCCAAACCCACTAACTATAGAACCTATTATTATGATCTAACCAAACTAAGAGTTAAAATTGAGAGTGGTGTTACTGTTTTCAAGAGTTTGCACCATATTCAATAACGAGAGTTAATTCTTAAGAGGCCACCACGGTACTTGATTCGTGTTAAAACACCACTGCTGCATTGCTATTGTTATCGCTATTTTACTTGGGTTCATGTATTTAAAATAAGTACATAAAAGAATTTAAAATATTATTTATATAGGTTGTTGTCAGTGTCCAAGAATTTGTTGCAAGAAAACTTGTCATTAGAACTTGTGAGTGTTTGAGTAATGGACAGTGAAAGAATGAAGTGTTACTTTTTATCTTCGCAACCAAAAGGCGAAACAATGAACTAATGTTACTGATTTTTGTTGTTTGAAGAAGTGGAGAAAGATAATGTTACCTGCAAGATTCTGGCGAGAAAGATAATGTTAGCAGCGAGATTCTGACGTAATAGTTTAATGGTAAAATAGATGAAAGAAGTAGATGAGAGAGATCAATGAAAAGTAGCTAAGTGGATAAGAGAGATCGACGGTGACGTGTCAAACTGTTAGTCACATCACTATTATTTAACTGACGAAAGTTAACGTTAGGTATAAAATTGAAAAAAAAAATTTCTAAAGTAGTTATTTTAAATATACCCTATTTTGAAGTATTTAACAGGTATTTAAACCAAATATATATATAGATAAGCATAAATGACTTAGAACATTAAATATTTTAATTGGATTTCAATAAGTGTAGTTGGAGAAAAATCTCTCGTGATAAGTATCATACGAAAAATAGAGGACTAACTCAAAATTAAACTTTTAATGCAAATTTTATAATTTGTAAATAATTCTTTTTAATTTAATTTTATTAATATAATAGAATATTTATTAATAATAATAAAATATTTATTTATAAAATTTATTTTTGTAATAATATTGGTGCAAAGAAAAAAAAAAAAACTTATTTGCATTAAATATACGACGGTTAAGAGTTCGATAATGTTTAACAATTAAAAATTAATATATTAGGATAATTTGTATTTATGTTTGAAACAAATGAACACTAACTCAAAGTATTTTATTAGCAAAGCAAATACAATACCCGAAGTTTACACTAAATAAATACGCATCAGAATCAGATCAGTACCTTTATTATCGGTGATCATCCAAGGATAATACGTGGGATATGTGCGATTTGGCGACTAACAGCACTTGTCTCTGTTCGGCACTCTTTAAGTAAGAGGGAACAGCGCTGAACCTCAAAGATCTTTAAGTTGGTAAGACCAATCATTCCTTCGGGAAGCGATGCCAAATTTGGGCAACCGTAGATCTTGATGTGCTGAAGCGATGAGAGGTTGCAAATCCAATCTGGCAAAGCCTTTAGCCTTTCACACATAAGTATGCTGATTTTTCGCATAGAAGGAAGGCAGTTGGTGTCATCCTTAAACCCAGTTTCAAATTCTTGGAGTGTTTCATTGTCACACCATTGAATTCGAAGAGACTTGAGAGAAGTCAGATTTTGCATCCAACCCCTTGGTAAATTCATAGGATCAGAAATGGTCAATTTTTTAAGCATGGAAAGAGGAGCAGCTGAGGAAGATGAGTCAGCTGAACATGTTGACGCTCTTGTGTTTAGTGTCGCTATTAATGGCTCCCCATTGCGTTCATACCATCTTATAGCCTTAACGTTTGGAAAAGTAGGCATGCAAGTCAACTGTGGACATTCAAAGACTTCCAGTCGAGAAAGATGAGGAAAGGAAAGAGATGAGGAGAGTTTATGGGAATCATTGATATCATCTGCCCGCCTCCGCCATACCATAAGCTTAGGACAACTCTCTAATGTGAGGCTCTCCAAAGATTGGAAGAAGGTTACTGCAAAACCATCTTCGTAGAGATATATGTATTCCAATTCATACAGAGAGTGTATCATAAGGGACTTCAGGGACGGGAGACGTTCAAGCGGTGGGAGACAGCGACAATTATCAAACCCAAGGAGAGTGATGTCAACAACATTTGTGAGGAGAGAGAGCCAATTTGGGAAAAGCACGCCTGGATAATAAAACACCTCCAAACGCTTAAGATTACGGTGGGGTTGAAGGTTTTCCAATAACTGCAAGCTGTCACTGTTATGGATGTCTCCATGCGACCAATACAGAGTCAAGGATCGAAGGAAATTTTTTTCTTTTAAATTTACGTGCTGTGATTCCAGAGCCACTTCTCTCACACGATTCAGATGCACAATTTCTAAGTTGCCTCTTATTAGGTTTAAGTCCTTCAGTTCATTTAGCGTGCCATACTTTATTTCTTGGCTGTCTCCCACAACAAAGGTCGATAAGAACTGCAAAGAGCATAATTTTCCCAACCCAACTGGCATAGCACTCATCATGGAGTCATTATCTGCAATACCAAGGCACCTCAAATTGACTAATTTTGTGACTACTTCTGAAAATGATTCTTCGTCGCACTCCCACAATTTTAATGTTTGTAGGAAAACAAGATTGCTTATCGATTTGGGAAGACTTGTTTGTCGCCTTAAAACAAGGTATCTTAAATGCTTCGAATGTTCAGTGTAATCAGAGAGATGATGCATACTCAAGGCACGTAAGTATTTGAACTTTGCAATAACCGACAAATATTCCTCCTCTTCCAAGTCATCCGGCAAAATCAAAGTTCGCAGCCTGCTCGGATCTAATGATTTCAACAGATGAATGGTCTCATCAGATTCCAATGACACGTGCATGGGTCTACCTTCAACTTTTTCTGCCTTACTATTCAAGTAACAATAATCATTGCCAGCTACTAGCATTGCAAGATCATGCATTAAATCATGCATTTTGAAACTAATGATCTCACCATATTCATCGTTCTGCATCTTGAAAGAATGAGTTCATCAAAAGCATCTTTACAAATTGATTACCCACATCCTCCATGCACTGTTTCTCAGTTGAACATTTAAGGTAACCCTGTGCCATCCATAACTGAATCAACTCATCCTTCGGAATTTCTGAATCCTTGGGGTACAAAGAGCAAAAAGCAAAACATTGTCTCATGTCTGATGACAAGTTGTGGTAACTGAGTTTTAGAATTGGCATAACACTATCTTGCTCTTCACATAATTTCCAGAAGTCACCGTGTAAAACATTCTCCCATCCACTTTCTTGGTTTTGTCCTAGTAACAGGCCTCCCAGCGATTTAACTGCTAGTGGAACCCCTTTGCATTTTTTGGCTATTTCTTTCCCAATTGATTCTAGATTTCGATTGACTTTGGAATCATCCTCAAATGCAATGTTCTTCAACAAACTCCAAGATTCTTCATCAGTCAAACCTTTCAAAGGATAGGAAGTGCTAGCAGTCATTACCTTTGCTACATTTTTACTTCGAGTTGTCACTAAAATCTTGCTATCTTGAGCACCACACATCAGGTACTTTCTCAATTCAGCCCACTTTTTATGACTCTTATTCCAAATGTCATCCAAGACCAACAAATATTTCTTACCACTTAAACTTCTACGAAGCTCTTTTTGCAACTTCTCTAATGATTGGTCCTGTCTTTGGCCATCATGAATTGATTCTAATATTTTCTTCAGAATAGTTTTAACATCAAACTTATCAGAGACACACACCCACATTTGCATTTCAAAATAATTCTGCTCTTCCAATTCCTTATACACCAATTGAGCAAGAGCTGTCTTCCCCAAACCACCAAGGCCAACAATGGCAATCACAGAAACTTTTTGGTTTTCATGAGGTTGTATCAACAGACTGATAATCTCCTCTTTACTATCATCTCTTCCAATGATATCAGATTCTATCACAAAAGAATCTGTTTCCCTGCATTCACTTCGCTTAACCAGCATAGAATTTGAGATTAAATTCAAATCCTTCATTTCTTTCACTACATCGTTAAAACTTTCTCGTATTACTTTAATTTTGTCACGCATTTCACTGTATAAAGGAAGTTGATTTGAAGATGAAATGGAACGAAGTACCCTGTTTACTTCTTTTCCTTCGGCTGCACCCATGTTGTCTCTCCTAAATTCGATAGCAAGGTCATCTATGAAGTCATCTGCAGCATGGAGTACTTTTTTGAACCTTCTGATCCAAACTCGCACATCATCGTCTTGCTCTTGTTTATCGTCGGCATCAAGGAGCTTACCATTGATGGATTCAATAGTGTTCTTAAGCTCTTCTAACTCTTCCATCACACCATACTCAGCATACTCCTGTCCAAATTCAAGAAAATCTGCGGAAGCTAACCTGTGAATGAGATGTGAAGAGACACCAAATGGAAGTGACTTAGCGATCCTTAAAATGATTAAGAAAGTGTACATATAAGGCTATAATAAATATTTTACTATCTTCCTCCGTCACATTACTTCTTTTATATTTATATGATTTTTAATATATTTTAGTAAATAATTAAGGGCATGTTAAGAAGTATATCTAGTTTGTAAAAAGAAAGAGTTTAATAATAATAATAAATGTTTTCTTAAACTTTTAATGAGCATAAAAAAGAATAATTTTTTTTTTCAAAATGGTGACGGATAAAAAGGAAGGGAGAGAGTATATTCTTTTAACACTTTTCAATATATAAATTCATCCAAACTCCGACCTCATACTTTCTTTTTGTGTATTCATTTAAAAAAAATCTGATCAAATGACATTATTGTTATTTTTTTATAGCATATGATTATTTATACATAAAGAACTTGTTACCTTCAAGCTATTATTTATATTTAATATTAAATATGATTAAATTGTATGTATTAAATACATATTTTAATTATTGATTTTAAAAATTATTGTGCTCAAAATCACTTAAAATAATATTTTTTTTAAATTGAATTATACAAAAATTAAAAAAAAAAAGTGTTTCAAACAAATTTGGTGTTAATAGAAGGGATGTTTTTAGTGTTTCAAACAATGCTTTACAAAAATCATAAAATAGAAAATATGATGTTTTAAATTTTTTATGGGAAGAGATATATAATTTCAAAAATAGAAATGAGCATATCATAATATATCCATATGTTTGTAATTTCTTCAGAAGAAAATCATTGTGGTATTTTAGACGACATTATCTATTCCAATAAAATATTTTTTAAATAATATATTAATAGATCACATGCCCAACATCAGAGAAATTTAAAAACACAGACATAAACAGAGATTAGAAAAATAAAATACAACTAAACAGTTTATATGAAAGAATAAGAAACACGCATGATGAACAGTGTATGGTACAAAGTTAATGAGTTCAACAACTGAGAGAAACTCGTGAGATTTAAGGCTTACCTATGAAGCCTTGGAACAGCAACGGAAAGCTACGCTAAATTGAGTTAAAGGGTGAAGAAAGGGTGCGGAAAGGAACCTGTGAATGAGATTTGAAGTAACAGCAAATGGAATTGGTTCAGCCATCCCTGAAATGATCGAGAGAGAGAGAGAGAGAGAGAAGGCTCCTTCGTGTTTGAATATGAAGCTGCAATGTGTAGATTTTGAGATTGGGAACGGAGGAAGCAAAAGCCCTATGCGCATATGTACTCAGCGGCCCCAATGCATTAATGTGGAGTTCTGAGTCAATTGTCTGAGACGTGTGATTCCAACTAATCAAGGAAGCTAAGGACAAAAAAAATTAATATTTTAAAAGTAGAATTTACGAATAAAAAACGTGGTTGGTGTTACTCTGACGTGACTTCTCGAGAGGGAAAAAAATTTATATTTAACAATGTAAAAATTTTACATTAATTGTCATTATACACAGTTTAAAAATTAAATAATTAAATTTGATAATAATTTTTCTTCGTAATGAAAAGTATGTAAGATTTGAGAAATAAGGAAAATATATCAATTGTATTTACTAAAAATTGAAAGTGAAATTTATTTTAATCTTTCATATTTTTAGAGACATTTTGGAGTTACAAGAAACTTTTAAAACTAATTTATAATTTTTACATGTTTTTATAATCTTATTTTAATAAGTTTCTTATTATTAAACTAAGTTTTTAAATTTTTTTCAATAAGCTTCGTAATTAAATTTATATCATAAACTCATATAATAATCTGTGAAGAAAAATATTCAATTAAACTGTTCACTTGAATATTTTTAATTATTAATTAAACAGATAATTATAAATATTTTATTTCTTTAAAATATTAGAAAAAAACGTCAAAAATTCTTTTTATGAGAATTAATTTCAAAAACAGCAATATTCAGAGAGATTAAATTCTTATTTAATTTTATTTTAAAAGTTATATTTAACAATGTAAAAAATTTTCATTAATATTTTTTAATTAATAAATTTACAAATATCATTTATTTTAATCCTCTTTTAATTCAAAAAAAATAATAGAAAAAGTAAAATAAATTATCTTATGTAAAGAATTTGATAGACAAAATTTACAAAGTTCAATAATCTACATTTTTACAATTCTAAGATAGTAATTTTTATAACACAAATTTGTTATTTATTTATAAATTTCTAATTTTTTATGACATAACTTTACAAAGTAAGTAAAAAATTATTCAAACAAAATTATATGAAATTATATCACTAAAGATAATTATAATAAATTGTAAATTTACTCGTTGAAGACAATTTTTATGATAAAAATTATTGTATTGGAATTTTGAATTTTGTAAAAAGTAATAAGATATTTTAAGTTTGTTAGTAGTTATAAAGGAAACCTGACTAATTCTCTAGAGTATTAACCTTAGACAGTGGCCTTTTGTATCAATATATACACTTTAATTCATCTATTTAAGTTGAAGATATTGAAACTCAAACTAATATATCACTTAAACTAATTATCATACTAACTTATACATCACATTTAAATAATGAATTAACATGTTCTTATTAAAATAATAATTAAATTAAATTTATAAAAATTATTAAATAATTTAAACATATAATTTATTCATAAATTTAAAGTCTTAAGCTACAAACAAGCAGCTTATAAATTACAAAGATAAAAGTTAATTAGTTCGTGAATATGTATCGCAACTTAGAATGCTTAAATTATAAGTACATCAATAATGTTTAATCGGATTAAATAAATTTGTGAATTATTTTATTATTAAATTTTAGGATAAATTTGTGGATTATTTTATTATTAACTTTTAGGATGAATGAAAGTGTTAAAAAAAAATGCATCAAGTTGTTTTTTAAATGTTAAATCTATTAAAAACATAAGAACCGATCTAACAAAATATTAAAAATCATATTTTTTTTGCGAAGTTCAGTTTAATTTTTATTTTATTTTTTTGGTTAAATTTCAACTAAATTAAGATAAATCAAACTTATAATATATATTTATATTTTAGAAATTTAAGAAAGAGAAAATGTTGTCTTAGAAATTTTCATTATCTTAAAAGATAATTTTGAAATGGACTTCTGTGGTAATTTGATACTAGGTTTGTCTCCAAAGTTTATATTCGTAGCTGGACTTCTGCACTCAAGACTAGCAGTAGTGAGTCTTTACAAACATGCAGTACCAATAATAATAAAATTATAAGAAAAATAAATAAATAAAAAGGATTGAGCTTTAACATTCTGACAGTAGGAAGGTTATACGGTCTTTGGTTAATTGCAATAATACTAAAATGGTGTTTATTAAAATAGCGGTCAATTTTAGAGAGAGTAATATATCCCGTTTCTAAATTAACTTTTATAATTTTTCTAATATCTTAAAAATTAAAAAATATTTATATTTATTCTAAATAAATTATTAATTATATTATCCATTAATATAAACTTGTAATAATTATTTTGCATATGAAAAAATACATAATAGTTACTTACTAAAATATAATCCTTAAAAATTATTTAACATTAATACAATGTTAACCTGTTGTTTTGTTTATCAATACCCATTTTTACATGACAAAATCTTAAAACTCCCGTAAATAAAGTTCACAAGTAAAAAAAAAAATAAAAGAAATTAAAGTTTTTTATTTACCAAAACGGTTCATTCTACTAGTTAACTTGTAAATTTATTAACAAAATAGTATAAGTTATATATAGAATATATGACCCGCCTTTAAATATGACTATCAATATAAATATTTTTAAAAAATAAAAAAAAATTAGTATAAGAAATTTATAATTTTTATATTAATCAATCATATACAATATATGGCTCATTTTTTAAAATAAATAAATAAAATTATACATTATACATTATACATATACATATATATATATATAGCTAAACATCAACATTTTATCAAAAATAAATTTAGAGTACAGGAGTATTCTAACCTATTATAATTTTAAAGAAAATTAATAATACATGTTAATTGGTCATTAATCCAATTTACATGTACAATTGATCTTCTCAAAAGTCACTTATAAAAATGATACTCAATAGAATCTAACATTTTACTAACATTTAACACATTATTATTTAAGGGAATATTATTGTTGAAGTCAATTTGTCCATACTACCGCAAATCATATCATTACAACTCTCATCTACAACATCTTTATTTTATTAAATATAATAAAGAAATAGTTTGTAGTTAAGAAGGAAGAAATAAAATTAAATCTATTTACTAGCCAAAATAATATGTAGAATTATAAAGCAATTTACTTATTTTACTCAAATTTATAAAAACTTAAATACAAAGTAATAAAAAAATTAAATAAATTTAAGAAAAGGAATTGACATAACATCAATATATACATTTTAACATTAGCAAAATTTATATTAAAATACATTAGGACTCATTTACAATATTTACAAAATACAAAATACAACAAGTCCTAGTGAGTAGTCTATCTACCAAAAAAATTAAAAGAAAATATTAGTCATCCCCATGTCATCCTCTATCATCGCGATATCGTCAGAATTGAGATCATCATCTGATCTGAGATATAGATTGCCTGAATCTGCAGTAACCTCTATACCAGTAATTAGTTCAAAAGTCCATCAAGATTCAAGATGACCTTCCAAGGTGATCGTGATCAGGATATGTAAACAGGTAGGTTACAACTGCAGGAGTTCTAACTATACCATGATAAAGGTACATACATAAGGTATAGTGGATTCTATTGTTCGTAGAAAAATCAAAAGGAACATTATAAGATAGTTCCATCTCTAACATAATAGTGTTACGAGATACATCATCAATATGTAAGGTTAACTTAAAATAATAAAACCTATAGTATTCATTAAATACATAGTTCAACCTACATTGTACAAAACTATCTATGTGCCTAATGCTCTATTTAGGTGTTGTCATATTGATCCCTGAAATATTTATATAAGGATGAGTCTCTATTATTATTACCAAGCATGCATATATAATTAAATCAACGATACAAATAAGAAAATACTACAAATCATTATATAACAAGATCATCAATTATTTAACTTATTCTATTTTATGTCTATTAATACTTAAAACTTTCATCTCACATTTTTCTTGCCCTTAGGATCTCTTGAGGTCTTCCTTAGCATAGATAGTTACTGGATAGTCGTAGCTATACAGATACAACGTGTGTCGACCCAGCCCCTTTTAGCAAAAGCATGGTCAATAATATCAGTTAGAAAATGAGTGAGACCCGTGGTGCTCCTACTCTCATTTGTTTTGTGCAATTCAAAAGAAGCATCCACCACCCTCATTTTTCCAATATTTCTTAGTCATCTCCATCTTCTAAACTTCCAGCGTACCTCTGAACTATCCATACTCATCCTTATCGTATTCCTTTCTCATTTTATTTCTCTTTCCATAATTCCTATCTCATCTCACTATTTGACTCTAGTTTATTAATACATCATACATCAATCAATCATTGCTGAGAGTAGGTCACCCTTCGACTCAGTCTATAACATACATGCATATACACTCAGAATAAGAACTATTACACATCATCAAAACCACACACATGTTTCAAATATAACAAAAACATGTTCTCATCTAGCATATACTCAAAATCAAACATTTTATCACAACATTTTCATGAACACAAACACACCACTTTTTTAGTAACAAGATAGAGCTCTCCTTACTTTAAAGACAAGTTTGTTGAAGAAAAATGAGAAAAGGATGGTTCACGAACCAAGGTAGTTCTACATCTTACATAAAAGAGTATTCTTTGAGTAAAGAGGAAACATAGAAGATAGAAATAAGAACAAGGAGTTTGAGCTTTGAGATACTCACTGATGATTCTGTAGAGTCAAAGTTTGAGCTCAGATTTGGTGTAGTTTCTGAGTTTTCAAAGATTTTCTCTATAATAGGGAAGAGAGAGTTTAGAGAAAATGATAAAGGAATGTGAGTTTTGAAATAAATGAAATTTTTATGCTATGAATCTCTTAAATACCCCTCAGCCTGGCACGTTCTTGCTTGAGCGAGGAATAGCTTGCTTTATCATTACTTGCTGCAATTCCTAGTGCACTTGCTAGTGTTTAGAATTATTACAAGTTTTTAGTGCCGTTGCCAAGGAATTTTGTATTTCAATATCATTAGTAACAGAAAAAATTGCTAGATTGAGTTCTTGTTTTCTTAATTTTTCTCTGTAGTTAGTATTACATTCAAGTTACTTGGTTCTATTTTTAATAGATAATTGTAGAATAGTAGTAGAAGAATTTTGGCATAATTCTGCAATTGTTAGATTTTAATTTTACATGTTGCTGCTGATAATTTTTCTACATAATCTTTGTTGTGAAAATCTGAATATTGAGTTATAGTTTAACTTTGTTAATTTTGATTTGTATATGCGAGGAAAAAACATAAATAAAGCTACTTTGGTATTCGATCCAGATATTGACCAAACACTAAGGAGGTTAAGAAGTGAAGCAAGATTTAAGCAAGTTCAAAGAGAGGAGCAAGAGAGTTTTATACCTACACCTCAACCAAATCAGATTCACAGACAAATAAAGATGGTAGAGCCGCAAACACTAAGAACCTTAGGGGATTATGCAGTTCCTAATCTCCAGGGATTCAGTTCTTCTATTCTGAGACCTACAATTCAGGCCAACCATTTTGAGATAAAACCTGCACTCTTTGAATTTGGTACAGCAGGACCAATTTGCTGGACACCATTCAGATGATCCAAATTTGCACATCTCCAATTTCTTGCAACCTTGTGACACAATCAAAATCAATAGGGTAAGTAAGGATGCAATCAGACTTAGATTATTCCCATTCTCATTGAGGGATAAAGCCAAATGCTGGCTTCAAGCCCAGCCACAAGGGAGTATATCAACATGGGCTGATTTGGTGAACAAGTTCCTAATCAAGTATTTTCCCTCTTTAAAAGCTGCAAAAATCAGAGGGGAGATTACATCTTTTGCTCAACAAGATGGAGAACCATTGTATGAGGCATGGGAAAGATACAAGGAGTTATTAAGGAAATGTCCTCATCACTACATACCTGAATGGATGCAGCTTGAAACATTTTACAATGGAATGACTGCAGCAACAAAAACAATGATAGATGCAGCAGCTTGTGGTTCATTGAGTTCAAAGACTTTGGAAGAAGCACAGCAAATCATAGAAATGATGGCATCTTCAATGTATCAAAATATGAATGAAAGACAAGTTTCAAGGAAAGAAGGATATAATGTAAAATCCATAGAAGCCATGTTTGCTCAAAATCAACTTCAGAATCAACAATTTTCTGAACAGTTTGCTGCCTTGACTCAACAAATAAGTAACATGTAGACTGGTGTGGTTCAAAATTCACAACTGAGTTGTGATTTCTATGGTAGCAACCATGTGAATGGAGCTTGTGATCCCACAGTTATAGAAAAACCTGATCAAGTCAACTATATGGGCAATTATCAAAGGCCACAACAACCATATCCACCTGGTTTCCAGCTAAATAACAATAGAGGACAGCAGTTTTTCAAGTGGAATCTACAAAATTCTAATGCAAGAGGAAATACAGCTACTGCACCTTTCCAAAGTGCAGCTCTCAAGTCCAGCAACAATATTTTCAAGGAAATTCTTCTGCACAAATTTAGAAAAACCAAGGGTATTCAAATTCAAGACCCTTGAGTGAGAAAGTGAATGGAATTGAAGAGACACTACTACAGTTTATGAAGGTGACAGAAACTAATTTTAAAAATAAAGAAAGTTCTATAAAGAAGCTAGAAACACAAATTGGGCAGTTAGCTGAGCAACTAGCCAATAGAGATGAAGGAAGGTTTCCTGGTAGCACAATAGTGAACTCAAAGGAGCAATGCCAAGCCATAACCATTAGAAGTGGAGCAGTGGTTTCCAGCCCAAGAAAGAAAAATGAAGTCACAAATTTAAATGAGGAAAATGAGCTAAAACAAGAAGATTTTGAAAGTGTAAAATACACTATGCTGAAGAGGGGAGAAGAAGAAAACTGCTGTAACAAGCAAGAAAAGAAGGGTAAGAAACAGAGATTTGAGCAGGCTTGCAAACCTATTAATGAAGAGCAGTACAAGAGATTACCTTTTCCAAAAAGAGTACAAGATCCTAGACAAGAAAAACAGTTTGAAAGGTTCATTGATGTGTTCAAGAAGCTCCAAATTAATATACCATTTGTAGAGGCATTAGAGCAAATGCCTTCATATGCAAAGTTTATGAAGGAGCTTTTGTCTAAAAAGAGGAAGCTGGACAAGGAAAAATTGGTACCACTCACTGAAGAGTGCAGTGCCATTTTGCAGAGAAAATTGCCTTAAAAGTTGAAGGATCCAGGGTCATTTAGCATACCCTGCTCTATTAGAAACTGCACAATAGGAAAAGCTCTTTGTGACTTGGGAGCTAGCATAAATTTAATGCCTTTAGCCATTATGAAAAAGCTGGAAATTAAAGAGGTAAAGCCAACAAGGATAACACTTCAACTAGCAGACGAATCTTATACATATCCTTATGGAGTAGTGGAAGACCTCTTAGTCAAGGTAGACAAGTTTATATTCCCTACAGATTTTGTTAAACTTGATATGGAGGTAGATGCGGATATCCCTCTCATATCAGGAAGGCCATTCTTAGCCACAGGGAGAGCCTTGATAGATGTTTAGAAAGGTGAATTGATGCTGAGAGTACAAGAGGAGAAAGTCATTTTTAATGTATTTGAAGCTATCAAACATCCAAGTGATGATATGAGCTGCATGAAGATTGATGTAATAGATGCTATGATACCACCTTCTTTGGAAAAAAATTATGAAAGTGCAGTCTTGGAAAGCACATTAGCTGCAGCAAAATGTAGTATTTATGAAGAGCAAGATGAGGAAGTGAAAGACTGCATTCTGCAATTAGATTCCTTTCCCTGTATGAACAATGAAATAAACCAACTTAAGGAAGAACTACATCAAGAAGAAGAGAAGAAAGATGAGTCAAAGGTGGAGCTCAAGCAATTACCCTCTCATTTGAGGTACGTGTTTCTTGAAGAGGGCCATAACAAACCTATAATAATAAACAGCAATCTGCAGAAAGACCAAGAAGAAAAGCTCTTGAGAGTGTTAAGAAAGCACAAATCTGCACTAGGATGGCAGATTTCAGATTTGAAAGGTATAGATCCCTTTTTCTGCATGCATATAATTTTATTTGAAGGGAATTGCAAGCCTGTTGTCCAACCTCAAAGAAGACTTAATCCAACTATGAAGGAGGTAGTGAGGCAAGAGGTGATGAAATTACTAGATGTAAAAGTTATTTATCCAATTTCAGATAGTTCATGGGTGAGTTTGGTTCATGTGGTGCCTAAGAAAGGAGGTATAACTGTTGTTCCAAATGAAAAAAATGAATTAATACCTACTAGGACAGTAACCGGATGGCGAATGTGCATAGATTATAGGAAGTTGAATGATGCATCAAGGAAAGATCATTTTCCTCTTCCATTTGCTGACCAAATGCTGGAGAGATTGGCTAGATTTGACTATTATTGTTTCTTAGATGGATATTCTGGTTACAACCAGATTGCAGTTGACCCAAGAGACCAAGAAAACACAACATTCACTTGTCCTTTTGGAGTTTTTGCATATTGAAGAATGTCATTTGGGCTGTGCAATGCTCCAGCTACATTCCAAAGGTGTATGCTGTCCATTTTTTCTGATATGATTGAAAGAATTATAGAGGTTTTTATGGATGACTTTTTGTATTTGGTAATTCTTTTGATCAATGTCTAGCTAATTTATCTCTTGTTTTGCAGCGTTGTCAAGACTCAAATCTTGTACTTAATTGGGAAAAGTGTCATTTTATGGTACAAGAAGGGATAGTCTTAGGACATAAGATTTCAGCAAGGGGAATGGAAGTGGATCCTGCAAAAGTAGAAGTAATTGAGAAGTTGCCTCCACCTGTAAATGTTAGAGGAATAAGAAGCTTTTTGGGACATGCTGGATTCTATCGCAAGTTCATTAAAGACTTCTCTAAAATTGCAAAGCCATTGAGTGAGTTGCTGAGTAAGGATGTAGAATTTGTTTTTGATGATAAGTGTTTAATAGCTTTTAACACTTTGAAAGAGAAATTAATTTTTGCACTTGTACTTGTTAAACCAGATTGGGAATTACTTTTTGAGCTGATGTGTGATGCTAGTGATGTAGTTATAGGAGCAGTTTTAGGCCAAGGAAAAGACAAGAAACTGCATGTTATTCATTATGCTAGTAGAGTTCTTAACCCTGCACAAATTAATTACACTACTACTGAAAAAGAACTCTTAGCTATAGTTTTTGCATTTGACAAGTTTCAATCTTATTTGATAAGGTCCAAGGTTATAGTTTACACTGACCATGCTGCTCTTAAGTATCTTTTGTTCAAGCAAGATGTCAAACCCAGATTATTAAGATGGATCTTACTTCTTCAAGAATTCGAGTTGGAGATCAAAGACAAGAAAGGGAAGGAGAATGGAGTTGCTGACCACTTGTCAAGATTACCACTTGAGGCAATACCATTTGAAGTGGAGCAAATAAAAGAAGAGTTTCCAGATGAGAGCTTATTCAAGAAGAGTTCCCAACCCTGGTTTGCTGATATGGCCAACTTTAAAGCTACACATCATGTTCCAAATTGGATAAGTTGGCAGCAGAGAAAGAAAATCTCCCATGACAGCAAATATTGTGTGTGGAAAGATCCATTACTATTCAAAATTGGAATAGATGGGCTGCTGAGAAGGTGTATACCAGAAGAAGAGCAGGAAGATGTTTTATGGCACTGTCATAGCTCATAATATGGAGGACATCATGGTAGTTCAAGGACAACAGCCAAGGTCCTGCAATCTGGTTTTTTCTGGCCAACTTTGTTCAAGGATGCCAAGAACTATGTGGAAAGATGTGATAGATGCCAGAGAATGAGAAATATTTTCAGGAAACATGAGATGCCACTGCAAAACATACTTGAGGTAGAGCTATTTGACATGTGGGGGATAGACTTCATAGGTCCTTTCCCTACTTCATTCTCGAATGAGTACATGCTAGTAGCAGTGGACTATGTGTCCAAATGGGTGGAAGCAATTCCTACCAGATCCAATGATGCAAGGACTATTATTTCATTCATCAAAAAGAATATTTTCTCAAGATTTGGAGTACCCAGAATTCTGATAAGTGATGGAGGAAGCCATTTCTGCAACAAATATCTAGAATCAGTCCTAGAGAAGTATGGAGTCAAGCATAGAATAGCTACACCCTACCACCCTCAAATGAGTGGCCAAATAGAGGTTTCAAATAGAGAAATAAAATAGATTTTGGAGAAGGTGGTAAGTAGTTCAAGGAAGGACTGGTCCAAGAAAGTGGATGATGCTTTGTAGGTATACAAGACAGCCTTCAAGACACCAATTGGCATGTCTCCTTATCAGCTAGTGTATGGAACAACTTGTCACTTACTAGTGGAGCTAGAACATAAAGCCTTTTGGGCTATAAAATGGTTAAATTTTGATCAAGTTAGTGCAGGAAACAAAAGACTGTTACAGCTGCATGAATTGGATGAGTTGAAAATGCCAAAATATACAAGGAAAGGACCAAAAAGTTGCATGACAGATTCATTCTGAAAAGGGATATCAAACCTGGGCAATCTGTGTTACTTTTCAATTCAAGGTTGAGATTGTTTCCAGGGAAGTTAAAATCTAAGTGGTCTGGACCTTTGTGTGTCAACAAACAACAACAAGTTTTTTCTCACTCATTTCTGCACAAGGTACGCACACCCTCATTTCTCTAAAACTATGGATCAGTTTTTTTTTCTGTACTTGATGTTTTTAGGTAATCATGTTAGGGTAATGACAAACTATTCTGAGAAGGCATTACTCTGAATAGGGTTTATTTGGCATGTATGAATTTTGAGGGAGATTCTAATATACATTATACCATTCATCTGAATAAAATTTATGCAGAAACTGAGTTGACCTAAAAGAAGGCTTCAATGATAAAGAAATTAAAATTATTGAACATGAATTTCTGAAATTGATGATGGAACTATATTGAATGTTGCAAAGCTATGTTAAAAAATAGTAAAACTTGAAATGTGCCCCTTGCTGTTACCTTTTTGTGCTTTAATAGTGTATACATTCTTAAATTGCTATTTAGGGATACAATCGAATTCATTTTGGGGTAATGAGAACTGCTCTGGTATTATCCGATTCAACAATAGAGGACAAAATGCTGAATAGGTGTCCTCTATCAATTGTGATATTTTGTTGAGATAATTGAACCTAAATTGCAAATTGTATGAGCAAAGCTCTGCAGAATCTAAGTTGATCTAATTAAATATCTTTAAAAATGTTGAATTGATGATTAGAGTGCATAACTGGGTTGAAAATTAGTTACAAATTATGCTGTGAAGGATTAAAGTGCATAACTGTGGTTGAAAAATTGCTTAAGTCTTATGATAATTCTTCTGCGTTAACATGAAATGCAATGAGAGTGTCCACGTTCAACTTAATAACCAGGATTTAACATGTTCTGACTGTGAATGATTAATGTTGTGCAATTATACTTGTGTATTTGTATGATGATTTATCCTAACAGCAAACTACATGTTATTTTTTAGAAAAAAATGAATTTCTGTAATTTGTTTGATGGAATTTTCTTCATTACAGAATCTATACTTCTGCAGCTGTGTTTGGTAAAAATCTAAACTGACCAATTAGCGCTTTATTGCAGAACTTGAAAAATGGTCAGAACTTCTATGAACACACCAGTTGGCTCCTATAGGAAGACTCAGGCTGGATCTTCCAGCAACACTCCAAAGAGGAGATCCAACAGGAATATCCAAGCTGGAGCCACCAAAAACACACCCAAATCAAAGAAGGCCAGAACAGATGGTGCCTCAGCTTCATCCTCAATTGAACTATGTGATCCAAGATTCAGGAGCATTGCTCACGAAAACTTCTTCAAGGCCAATATTCTAAGGAGAAAAATTGTCCCTGATAAAGCATTCAAAATTGCTAGGGACAATTATCCAGAATACAGAGAGAGGATCCAGAAGATGGGATGCGAGTTCATCTATTTTGCAGCTGGCCTGGGTTGGAGGGAAATAACCCATGAATTCTATGCAAATGCCATGAGGCTCAAGGGAGATCAATTCCCTAGGTACAGCATAATGGTCAAAGGGATGAGGATAGATTTCAGTCCTGCCAATATCAATAGGGTGCTAGACATCAATGCTGAAAGACACCCTGCACAGTTAGACTTCAGCTCATTCAGGAAGAGCCCTGATATTGATTATGTGTAGATTTTGGAGAAAATTGGCAGGCCAGGTACAACTTGGAAGTTGAATCAGGCCAAAAAGCCAAAATGTATAATCACCAAGAACTTGCTGCCTTTTGCCAAGGTATGGAGCATGTTCATCCTGAACTCTTTCATGCCAGTAAAACACATCTCAACCTTGGCAAAGAAGAGGGCTGAGTTGTTGTTTGTAATAGTCACGTATATGTACATTGATGTGGGGGAGATAATAAGTGAGTGCATCCTGAATATCTTGAAGACAAAGAGGGATTCTCTAGCCTTCCCTTCAATTATCACACTACTCTGTGAAGATGCAGGGGTGGAGTTTGGGGACTATCAAGAAAAGATCAGAGCTGCACCTCCCATCTTTGCATCTTTGGTGAAAGAAATTTATGCCACCACTTCCTGCACCTCTGTAGCCCCCATTCCTTCCCAATACAAAAAGGAGAAACCAATGCTGATGAAAGATGCATTGAAGTTGATGGTTGAGAAACAAAATTAGCTAGCTGAAAGGCAAACTGAGCTACACAGCAGTCTCAAAGTTGGAATGTGTGCTACTCAACATTGGACAAAAGCTGGGAATGACTAAAGAGGAGATGTACCACACACCTATTCTGGCAGAAGATGCCAGTGCCTACGATCCTCTGCTTTTAAGGATTTACCAGTTTATAAAACACACAGTCCACAGTCAGTAGAGGAAGAAGTGGTAGAAGAAGAGGTGGTGGAGGAGGAAGAAGTAGAAGAAGAAGAAGAGGAAGATACCTTAGAGGAAGAGGATGGAGCAAAAGAATAAATTAGGATTTTAATTATGTTGTTTTAATTTTAGCTTTTGTAAATTTTAGCAATTAGCAGTTTAATTTCTGTAAATGCAGCTAGTTGCCAAAACAATTTTAATACTTTTCAGATGTAGTGAAGTTCAGTTTCTTTCGTTTAGTATTCTGAAAAATTTAATTACTGAAATTTTCTAATCATTGATGGAATTTTGGTGTTTTGTGCAGAGAATGTTATAATCACAGCACTCACACACAATGGATGTTGACACTTGCAAAAGCTGCCATGAAGGGGGGTTATTCTTTACCTCTTGATTCATGTGTTAGCTACACAATACACTGAAATTTTACTGATAGTAGAATAGATATTGAATTGTCTTCTGTGAAACAATTGCTTTTCAATTGATAATTCTATGGATTCTGATTTAAATTTTTTTAAGTTGTTTTTCTCATTCTCAAAATGAAATCACACTTATATTTTCAAAATGAGGGAGTCTTGCCACTAGGTGCATATAATTCTGAAAAGTGAATTGTGAGTTCATTGATTAACACATCACTTACAAAACC